AAGAGACAGGAAGAGGGGAGAAGATATTAAGCAAACCTAACTTTTATAGTTCTTTTTTTATGTCTTCCTTTTGCCACACACCATAAGATAAAACATGGTGTTCTCTTGACTCTTTCCAGGTGGAAAAGCCTGTCCCCCTGACCAAGCCCTGCAGGAGCACCGTGCCTGTAATGATCACCCGTGTGCACATTTTTTCTGGGAAACTTCTCCCTGGAGCCCTTGCTCTGAAGATGTGCTGGTAACTGCGCTCAACGCGACCATTAATTGGAGCAGAGAAGCCACTTGTGGAGTGGGCATACAGACAAGGAAAGTCTTCTGCATGAAGAGCAGTTCTGGCCAGGTCACACCTAAACGGTATGTAAAGAAATCATATTAGTGATTATTTGTAGTTACATTATTTATGAAGGCATTTTCAGCTGGTGTAGAGAACCTGCAGCTTTGAAAATAATTTCCGTTCATGATTAATTCTCCAGCTACTACTCCATCACTACTATGAACGGGGTGCTAATATGTAACAAAAATAAATAGCTAGCCCATTTTTAATTTTCTTTGTAAATCCAAGTAAAATGCATGTTTTTAGTAGAGTATATTTTCTTTTTTTTTTTTTTCTGTGGCTCGTCTGTTAATCTAATTTACAGATTTCTGCAAATATTTTTCCTGAAGGTCAGGTGTGACGAAAATATAAAGTGCATCTGAATATAATGCTCATCAATACATTATTAACAATGCTCTAATATAATAAAAATAATTCAAGTTTGCATTATATTACACAACAATAAGGCAGAATCATATGTGTGATCTGTATCATTCAGTTGATTCATATACCTTCTATAGTGTAATACCAACATGAAAAAACTATATATTCTACGGTAGAAATATTCTGAATTTTGCTTTGCTTTACTAAATGGGGAAAATAAGTAGCACAGATGTTTTCCCTAATATCAAAAAATCAAGTCATTGCTAATTACTTTTTGCACTGTTAATGAGTCTAGAGACTTACAATGGAGTTTAATTTTTTACTGTAGTTCTCAAACCAGTCCTGTTCGTATAAGCAGACTGTGTTGATTTCAGTAAAGTTAATTAAAATTCTTGAGGTTAATGGATTAATTAAATAAAAGGAAAGAAATTTAATATTCATCTATATCTAGAATCCACTGATATGCTGTAACTTTGCCTAATGAAACATACTATTTATAGAGCTATATAATGTCTAAATGTTTGCCCCTTCCACTTTTGAGATGGTGTAAGGGGAAATGGAACTAAAGAGGTTAAGTAAATACTTAAGTACTTGAAGGAAAAACAGAGTTTCAGTGGTGGAAAAATCCTGCCAAAAGAAGAAATCTACTTACTGGGGACTTCAGAAAGGGTCTCTCCTTGGTTTTGGTGTGGTAGCTTCAGTGTTCCTCATGTAATGGAAGTGGCTGGATCGAAAAGGACTGCTGAGTCCTTAAAAGAGCTTCTTACTGAAATTGTTTTACTGCTGCACTGTGAATTGTTCTTACGGTGATAATTATCTTAAAAATAAAAGTCTTAGACATCTGGAAGTTTTTAGGAAGATGGTTTTAAGTGAAGGAATAAAACCTCTGTGTTTGAGAATTAAATATTACCTCATTTCTGTCTGGGAAGGTCTCGACCAGTCTGGTGCTGGGGCGGAGGGCAGCCCTCCTCGCCATGGGCACCAGCTGTGGTTATATTCTGTTTTATCTCCGAGTTGATGAAAACTGACCCAAAGTAATGTTGGCTTTAGAACTGCTGTGGTGAAAGTCTACTGTTAATACGGCTTCAAAATTGGAATACTTTAAGTAAATAAATAATGTGCATGTTGGCATACTGTTCTGTTTTGTATTCTGCATTTTTCTTGATTTCATGAGGAAAAATCACACTGTATCCAAAGAAGATGCAAGGCACAGAAAGCCAATTAAAAGTAAAATTTTCAAAGAAAAAGATTTCAACGTCTTCTCTTAGATAACAGAAATCTGCCCTTTAGGATAATCATGCTTAATTAGAAGACATATCTTTGTATTTATTTTTTTTTAAATGATACCTCTAAGTATCTTATTACTATCTCAGTAATGGAATCGCGACTTGAAGGTCTGTTTTCTTTCCTGCTAAGGTTTAGTGGCATGTTCCTCTTTCAAAATGGATCATTTTGGGTTGCGTGCATTGCTAAGTATTTTTGAGTGATCTTTCTACTAGAAATGAATATAAATTAAAAAAGAGTAATTCTCTTTGTCCCCCCACTTAAAATGCATGATCTGCCTGATCCCAGACAATTGTCCCTTTTTCACCCTTTGAATTTTTATATATTATAACTGTCTGTGTCTGAAACTTTTTATTAGACTATGCATGACATATTTTTCATTTAGGATTTCGAAATGAATAAAAAAAATCACAGAGCTGCTCTTACTCTACTATGTTGTACAACTTTTAAAATAACAATCAAGGCCTCAATGAAAGCTATTAAACTATCACACTTTAAGCTATTTTTGTGTTTCCTAGGGATTGAAAGTGGAAGAATATCACATCAATCCTTACACACAGTTGCAAGTGGTTTGAAGGCTGTTGCATGTTTTGTTAAAACAGGAGTACTTTATAGACATAACTTCTCACTTTCTTCAGCAATAAATATGTCTGGTTTGCTTCAGTAAGCTTTGGTTTTTAGGTGTTATAGACAGATTTACATTTAGGTTGTAGTCATCAATCCAATCTCCACATTTAAAAATTATTATTAATATTTTTTAATCTTTGAAGTGAACTAAATTTGGTTGGGTTACACGAGTGCAAAGGAGAAGATAAATGAGGCTTACCTGTGACCAGGAGTGATGTCTTTGGTATGGCATTATGCTTACAGCCCTGTGAGAGTTTTAGGAGTAAAATGGTTCCCTGTAGTTTTAATTTTTTATTATATTTTATCTTTGTGTTTTGATTGATAGATGTCCAGAGTCCATCAGACCTGAGACGGTGCGGCCATGTCTCCTCCTCTGCAAGAAAGACTGTGTTGTTACACCTTTCAGCGAGTGGACTCGCTGCCCAACAACATGTCAGTCTGGTAAGCCTTTAAGAAGAGGTCAGAATTTGGGGGAAAAATTAGAGAATTGGCTTAGAAATATGTGGTGGTTGTAGTTTATATCAGTGTAATAATTTTTAGGGCATTCATTTGAATGAGTTTTGGACATGGTGTTGTTGACACTGATGCTGTTAGTAAGGGGTGGGATCCTCATGAGCAGATTCAGAGATGTAAGTTCTCTCTGGAATAAATTCCTTCTGGACGTCTGCCTTCAGAGTCATAGGTTCAAGGTCCCAGTGTTGTGTGCTTATACTTGGAATTGCTACATTATGTGAAATTAATTTCTCTTGACCAACCTAGATGTACATGTAGGGTTGTGTAAATAACTCCTACGCTTTGTGATTTTTCAAGGACCACACGTTTCTTTGATCTAGCCGGTTAGCTTTTGGACACTGTTTAGCAAAGTTCCTTTATAATGATCTAGTGTTGTTTTTTGTGACAAAATTTATGTGTTTCATTAATTGTTCAGATGAAAGCCTTATCAGAATATTTCATTATTGTTGATCGCTTCCTTGCCTTTCAAAGGTTCTCAGTGGATGCTCTAGCATAGTCCTTGTTAGATTTTACAGAAAAATGAGTTGCTTTCTAAAACAGTGACTCCTGTTTTAATTAGCAATTTATTTTTAGATTTTAAATGAGCTGCCTATGAAGAAGTAGAATAAATTACCTGGTAAATTACTTTGTTTATTAAATAATAGTCTACAATTAAAATGAGAAGAAATTAATTATTTAACCTCCTTGGCAGTGTTATCATTTTAATATAATTCTAAATTAAATCTTCTTAGGTGGGGGTATTTGCTTTTTGCTAAATCTGTTATTGATATGGCTGCATTGCAAGATTATTTTTTTTTTAATTCACATTGCACAATTAAAACCTCAGCACGATAATGAAATTTCAAAACTACTATACATATGTGAGTTGTTAGTTTTTTTTTTTTTTTTTAATAGAAAAGTTGTATTTAATGAAAACAATATACAGATGGTGAATTACTAAGCAGATCAAGGAGGAACAGGTATTGCCTGGCAGATTTAAAATTAAATGTGTACCAGCATAAGAACAGAGCTTAGACAAACAAGCAGTCACTAAATCAGCTCTACACAGAACTTCACCAGTTAAGCTGTTTGTAGTTTATCTGAGAAAATGCGTCCAACTTTACTATCTAACAATAAAAAAGCTGACATTTTCCCTACATTTAAATGTCATCAGACAACCAGCTGTCTTCTGCCGAAGGATTATCTCATACCTCAGAAGTGTAGACAGCGGTGAACTTAGGGCAATAACAGATGGATGGACAACATAATTCACAAAAGAAGTGCAATTGAATCCAAACACCTGTTGGTGAGGCAGGAACAGGGAGGTTGTTGCAAGTTATCAATTTTCTGCCATTTCAGATACTTAAAGGTGACAACTGTCTACTGCAGTCATCTACAATATATCTGTTTTAATGGGTCTTTGAGGATGAATTGAAACAAGAATCAAAGAATCAATATAGAGGTTTCAGAATATGAAATGGTTTGGATGAACAGCATGTAGACTCTCCTCTGTCACCCGCTTTCCTGGTGGTGAAGGTGTCCTCGGAAGGTAACTGCTTTCAGCATGGGTGATGTGCTCTCTGGTCTGTCAGCATAGATTTAAAACAGGGAGAGTAAAAAAAGCAAACACCTGACAATAAATAACATTTTTCATCTTCCTCCTGAGAATAGATGGTACCTATAAGTGCCTCTCCTCCCTGGGCATTGGTTGTCCAGGGGGAAGGTTAGAAATTTCACTGTTGCTTAGTTCTCTGTACAAGTTTACATGAAATGTTAGGTAGTAACTGTCCTATTTATTCCCACATGCCTTAAATCAGATTTGAGATGAAATGGGGTAAAAGCAGATAAAATGCATGACGTGCCACGATAAGAAATTCCAATGACCTCTACCTTGTGTCAGAAGGTTTCTGTCAAGGATCTGCCACTTCCAGTTCTCAAAAACAATCAGAGTTGGTCAAAGTTAAAGAATTAGCCCTTCAAAAGCCCTTATCTGCACAAAAATACTGGAGACAGCTCTGATTTTGGTGACTAAAATCCTGGAGAGTCTGCCCATTTGTGTGCTCAGTCTTGTGTTGACCAGACTGCCTTTCCATCTGGTCAGGAGCAAAGATTATGAAGCTGAATGTTTCCCATAAAACCTGGACCAGATATAGCACACTCTACAGTAGTGAACAGATTTTGTCCCTTGCCTGGGAATGGTGATACACCTTTCTGAACCTGGGACAGACTACTGGGGAAGCCCTGGGGGTGAAATGCAGAGGAAGGAAAGATCCAAGAGCAAGAGAGGAATGAGAAGAGTGAATTGACAGGAGTCATATGGCTCTGTGTGAGGAGAGGACACTGGAGACTGGTGGGACAGGGAGGTGGGAGTGGAAGCAGAGGTAAAGCACCCCCAAAATTCTCAAACAGCTTTATCTGAGTGGCAAAGTCAAGGACACAGAAAGTTGAGATGGTCTTGAGATCCTGAGGCTTGATTTTTTCAGGAGGGCAGGCCATCATAGCCATACTTGAAATCAGTTGAAGTTCAGCTTTAAAAGGAAAGTCCTACATAACGCTAATACTCTGGAAAATCAGGCTATAGCAATTTTAAATGAAATATAAAAATTATGTTCATTAACATTTGTAAGGAATGCCATAGAAAAGCCAATGAGAAAATTCAATTTTGAAAATGGGGTTTGAGTAATGTGCAATAAATGTTGAGGATAATTTAGTTTCTTGAGGTGGAGAAAATTACTGTGGAAAGCTCATTTAGATTTGGTACTGATTAATAGGAAGCAAATGGCTAAAATTCTAATGGTGGTAGATAATTTGAATGAAAATCATCACAAAGTGATAGAGTTCATGATTCTTAGGAGAATGGAAGGATGGCAATATCAGCAAGACATTTTAAAATAAGATAGACTTCAACAAACTGAGTGAATTGGTAGCTACACCTCTTGGGAACATGTTCTATACAGGCAGGAGTGTAGAAGACCTGGAAGTTACCAAGAAAGACTGTAAGAAGGGCTGAAGCCTACTGGACTATACTTTCTATTCTGAAACTATTATAATAGCAAACCAGTAGCACAGGGGAGCATGTGTGGGTCTGTATATGACTTGCATGTTCAAGCTTCAGACCATGAAGAGAAAATATCAAATGCAGCTAGAGAAGCCCTTTCTTAATCTTTTCTCATTGAGTAGTTCAAAAACTTGTTTCATTTTTGATTGTCAAATTGTTTCACAAAAATTAGAAACAAGAAATTGAGAATGCAAATGAAGCTATAGGAGGATATTATAGAACAAGAATTACATAAATGGATTAAAAGTAAGGGGAACTGAATGAAAGATATGTCCATTACTTTGAAAAATGAAGGAAACAACGTGCAGAATGTGCAATTGCTGCCGTTGTTTCCTGTCTGAAGCCAGGAGAGGAACGGACTAAAGAATAAGTATTTCCATAAATGAGCTGTTCCCATGTCAGTACGACTGTTTGAATAGAGAACGAAGCAATAAAGTAAGGCTAGAGCATCTAGTGACTATCTGCTGGGTAAGAAATTGCTAAGTCCTGAGGAGCTAACTAAAACTCACTAACACCAAGACAAACCAAACTAACCAACATCCTACCTCTCGCTCTGTCCCCTGCCAAAAAAAATAAAAGGTCAAGGAAATTGAAGATTACTCATCCTAACTTTGATATGCAGAAAACCACAAGAACAAGGTATTACTCAAGATAGAAACATTTCCAGAATCAGATTCTAATAAACTAGCCAGTATGGATTTACTGAGAACAAATTGTTCCCAAAAAATTTAATCTCTCTCTTTTTTTTTTTTTTTTTTTTTTTTTTTTTTGAGAACATAGCTGCTTTAATTAAGGGAAATGGGAGATTTTTGACACATTAAACTTTTATCAGGAAGCTGAGGAACAGTGACTTGAATTAAATCACTGTTAAATGGGTACTCAGCTGCTTGAAAAATCTCACAGTGGATATCACTGTGAAAAGAGTCTTTCTCAGTCTCCTTTACTGCCTGCCATCAGGTATCAGTACACATTGATAAGACCCCGTGAGCCCTCTCCAGTCCAGGCTGAAGAGTCCCAGCTTTCCTCATCTCTTCCTGTGTGTCAGATGTTCCAGTCCTTGAACAGTCTTTGTGACCTTTCAATGATTCACTGCAGTGTGCCCATGTCCTCCTTCTCCTGGGGAGCCCAGGACTGGACATGTCACCCAGTTGTCTCACCAGTGCTGAGTAGAGGTCCCTCAGCCAGCTGGTGATGTTCTTCCTAATGCAGTCCAGGATGTCGTGGCCCTTTGCTGCAAAGACACATTGTGGCCTCATGGTCAGCTTGTCCATCAGGACTCCTGCGGCCTCTCTGCAAAGCTGCTTCCAATCAGTTGGCTGGTAGATGTCCACTACTCATGTTTGCACTGGAACATAAGCCAAGAGGAGTCCTACAGAAAGCTCTTCTTGCCCCAATTCTATGTGATAGTTGTCTGAACAGCTTGCGTGCCTGAATAATAACATTAGTGAATGGTGCAGAGTTGAAAGAGGTAGCAAACACAATAGACAATATATTAAATAATACTGAAATAATTGAGAAATTTCTCAAGATGTGACTTGGGAAGGAAGAATTGATTGCACAAAACCAGAATGGGAAATAAAGACATCAGTACTGTCTCAAGCATGTCTGAATACAATGGACCACAAGATGAATGAAAGACGGCAATCTGAAATGCTAAAACTCCATATTGGGCTTGTCAAACTCATGGGCGTGTTGTATATAGAACACCACAGGTGTGTCTATACTGTGCACTGGTGTGGCTGCAGGTGAGATTCCTTGGGCAATGAGCGGTGATTGAATAGGACCTACGAAAAAATGGGTTTGCTTACTTTAGAGTGGGAAAGACTTAGAGTGGATAAAAGCCCTTGAAATTTAATGAAGGTTATGTGTCAGATGATAGGGATAAACTTTTTTTTTACATCTAGTGGACAGAAGATAAAAAGGGTTTAGCTTAATACACAGGAGCGATGACTTGGGCTAGATTTTAAGAAAAAGCTCTATGTGAGGCTTTACAAGCACTGTGTCAGGCATCTGAAAGGGCACTGTCGGAAGCTGTGGAGCTGCCTCAGGTAGTGGCTGTTAATGAAGCAGGAGGAGGATTGCCCTGGATGCACTTACCCTGCCTCAGGGTAGCAGCTGGGATGAGCAACCGCCTGCCAGGTCCAAAGTCCCTTTGCGGTGATCTCACATGTGTGTGAGTGAAGGCTTGTATAACTTGATATTTTTAGAGCCAACCATTTTTACTGGGTCTGTGCTTGTACTTTGTGTTCATGGTGTGACTTTTCTTAAGTTTTCCTTCTACTCTAATGCACTGTAATCTTCCTACTGCAGCCTTGGCCTTCAGTTGGAAAAATAATATTCATAAGTGGACTAATTTAAACACCACTTTCCTCTCTAGGACAAATTTCATGAATTCTGTTATTAAAAGATGTTTGCCTGGTCTGGAATCCTTTATGCAGTTCTGCTGAGATCCCTCTTCAGTTTTCTAGCATCTGTTTTTGAAGCATGAATACAGTACCCAAAGAGTACTGATGCCATACATGATGGTTAAACCAGCTCTCAGTTTGTACTTACCACATTGTATTTGTTTTAGCTGTAGATATATAGATAAATCTTATCCTTGTCTTTCGTGCTGCATTCTGTACCGTAGATCTTGTGAACTGTGTTTCTAGATGGATTGATCTTGCATCGACTCAGGTTAAGTAGAGAGTTAGCCTCTGTTGGTTACAATGGTTTTCCTATCAGGAAGTTATAATCTAAAATTTCTGTACACATAAAGATGGGTTACTGGTAGCAGCCGGAGACCACCAGAATGTGTTTTCAGAAATAAAGCCTTCCATTATAACAGTTTAGTTTTTTTTGGGTTTCATTCTTTTGTCCTGTTCAGTTTTTTTAAAGTATTTGCTCATACTTGTTTTCTTGTCTGATTTGATGTTCTATTAAATAGACATTTTTTGATGCAACTCTTAGGCTGTTGATATATCAACCTTTCAGGTGTTGTTCTGTTGAACTACTAGCATTTTTAAAGTAAAAGTAATGGTAGCTCTTGATCTAAAGTATCATTCCTTCCCTTCTTTGTGTAGTGCCAGAGTGCTCATAATTTCAAAATATGAATGAAACATAAAGCATTTTTTTTTTTAACTAAGACAGCTAGATCACTAAACTGAGGTGCCAGCTGTGTCTGGAAGGCAATTTTTTTCTTTATTTTATAGGCAATGCCACTGCAGTTAAGCAGTCCCGGTATAGGATTATCATTCAGGATGCTGCCAATGGGGGACAGGCATGCCCAGATACCTTGTATGAGGAAAGAGAATGTGAAGATATTCCCATCTGTCCAGTGTACAGGTAAAAGGTGTTAGCTTGGAATCAGTCTCTTGCTAGTGGGTGTCCACTTCTCCAGAAATGACTTGTGCAATTCTCCTCCACAATTTTCACCAGTAAACAACATAATATTGGAAAGTGCAGTTATGAACGAATACTGTACCTTTGCAAAATGTGTCAAAGTAAAGTTCAAATTGGAGATCTGGCATTATCAGAACAAGCACCACTAGGCACAGCTCCTACAAATGGTAACCTCAGGGTTTGATGTGTTTAAGGAAGCTTAGTGGGAACTCCCTGCTCAGTGTATCTAAAAGTCAATGTAAGCTATTTTAGGACCACAAGCATTCAACTGCTTTAATTGTAATTGTATGCTTATTGCAGAAATTCCTGGCTTTTCCCCTGATACTCACTCCAGTGAATAATATTCACTTTAAAAAATTCAGATTAGACAAATAGTACAACAGGGCAATTACTCACCACTCTTCATTAATATCCTGTGACCCATCTGTTATAAAATATTAGTAAATAGAAAAGCACTATATCTTTGCCTAGAAGTCTCCAGCCCACACGTCCTGTGGGACGTGGTCTTGGAGCAGAGTGGGGAACCAAAGGTGATACCAAAGCGGCAGTCACACCACTCAGCTCTGCCTGGCTCTGTACCACCGAGCGCTGTGGAAAGCTGCTTTCTCATGTTCCTCACTGCTCACATCCTAGCATACAAAGCAGATTGAGAACTGCAGCAGTTGTATGAGAACGGGCTTGCAGGAGGAGAGCCTGATTTCAAAGCCCATTGAAGAGGTTTCCTGTCTATTTTATGGAACTTTTAACCATGCCTTTCAAAAATGAGAAGGGGAAATATTGTTGGAGGATGATGCAGCTTCCTAGAAGATGAACTTCTATCTGGATTTCAGTTCACAACACTTATTTCAGGAGTAATTACAGCTTTTTGACTCTATTTTTCCTTAAGTCTCTATAGTATATCATAATTCGTAACTGAATTTTTTGCCTGGACATGTTAACTGTTTTCCAGTTTTAACCACTTGATTGTTAACCTCTTCCTCTTGCAGGTGGAAGACCCACCGCTGGAGTCACTGTGTGCTGGTGCCAGATTCAGTGAGACAGGGGGTGCCGGGACACAATGAGGCATGTGGACGCGGCTTGCAGTCAAGGGGTAAGCTTTCTCCATGCAGCCTCCAAGTATTTAAGGTGTTGGGGTGTGGCGTTGAGGTAGGGTCTTTACTCTTTTACAGTAGCTAATTTGGAAACTAAGGTACTGAAGCACCTAGAAGTGTTTTTGTATGGTTTTGCTGCTGTGCTGGATGTTAAAGTACCAGTAGCATGATAGTATGCTTGGAGTATAGGAGGGGATTTATGCTTGGTATTCTGCTATTTTTACAGGAAGCTGCTCTTCTGCCTAAGGATGAAGCATGTGGGCTTTAAAAAAACTATCTATCTATAGGCCTCTATGATGTAATCCATTCTTGGTGCTAAAAATGGAAAGGATAATTTCCTCATGATTTTAAATTTTACTAATAATTTGCCCGAGGCCTGATTTTCATTAAGACTATTGAAAAAAATTCAGTGTGAGTAAAGGCTTTGGGCTCCTGCCCTTGGCATGATTAAATGCTTGGAAAATACAGTGATCCCATTGTCTGAACAAAAGTGTTGTGAAGAATTTCACTGTTCAGAGTATGTGCTCAGTCTGTAGTGGTTCCTGCAGGTAGCTGGAGATTTGACTGTTATCAGTCTCCTGGGACATCTAATGAAACCTTTAACAAAAGGTTATTTTTATTGAAAAAAAATTACTATACAGGTATGTTAACTGAAGAAACCTGACATAATAATTTACTCCTTCACAAGGGTAGAAACTATTCTTTAAAGATGAAGTGAATTTCTTATATAATCTGGAAACAAAGGAAAAAAAAGAAAAGCCCTGACAGCATGTGGGCTGTATCTGAAAGAAGAAATGTGTTTTAAACTAAACCTCAAAGGAGTAAATATCTTTAACTGGGTTTTGACCACAGGCCTTTCCACAAGGTTTTCAAAGAGAGCTCTGTAAATTGAGATGTCCTAAAATGTATTCCTCAATCTCTGTGTGAAGGGATTGTAATCTCTGTGCTCCAGTAGGTGCATGAACTTTGTATTAATCTTACTCTGATAGAATTCGAAGGATAATAGAAGAGTATCCTGCTTATTTTTACTCTGTGGAGAGTCCTCCAACAATTACATAGGCTATGTGATGTTCTGAGGTAATAATGGAAAAGGAATCTCATAGCCTGATGGGTTTAAGCAAGATTTGTTTCAGTGCCACGTTAATTTTTTTATAATTAACTGTGGTTTTTGTAACAGCTTTGGTTTTCATAATTACATGTAGTGATAGAACCAATCTACTAGGTATTACTGAGGATAAGTGTGGTTTCAGGAAAATGAGTTCTTAGATGAAACCCATGGAAAAAGATTTTCAAGATATTTCTTACGAGGAAGGGGAGTGATCTCCATGGAGAGGGGAGCTAAAGCCAAGCTGCTAACTCCAACCATATTGCTTCTGAAAAACAAGCTGCAGGATTTTCAGCAATTCTGTATCTTAGCTGTAAAAGTGTTTAGTAAGGGAAACTTTGATAAAGCTGCTGTTAACACCTCACCTTGCTGCTACTTGAACTCTGCAAGAGCAGCTAGCACGTGTGAAGAGGTGCTCTGTCACTGCATCACCAGGGAGTACCCATTTAGCTAGGGGTGGTGTTGCTAATACACCTTGCAGGGTCTCTTCAGCTTGTAGACCTTGACTCTGGAGGACTTCTGATCCTTCCATTCTTCACCATGAAAGGGGTCTTTGGAGATACTGAGGTGAGGGTGGGGATTTGGGCTTGTTCAGTCTGTAGAAGTGTCTAATGGGAGTGGGGTTCACAAGAAGATGAAGCCACACTCTTTCCAGAGATGTGCAGTGAAATAACAGCAGATAACTATCATAGGCTGTAGTGAGAGAAATTTCCAGATTGCCTGGAGAGATTGTAGATTAATTGGAGTTACTGAAAACTCAAATGAATAAGATCTTGAGTAGCCTTTTCTAACTTTGAGATCAGTTCTGCTTAGAGCAGGCATTGGACCTTCAGAGGCCCTTTCCATTCTGTCATATTGTATGGTTCGGTGGGTCTCTTTAGGGGGATCTGTGCCATCAGGGGTGTTACAGATAGATGCTTTCCTGCGATATTCAGGCATCCTATAAATGAGTTTGCATTCGAGGTATCACCACCACTCCACACAGTAATTAGTTTGCATAATGTGTCAGTGTCTTTAGCCAGTAAGTGCTTATTCTCCAAAGAGCATTTATATGAATTTGCCCAATTTCTTTTTTACCATGTAACAGCAATTATCATTTTACCACTGAAGATAATCGTCTCACTGTTCCTTAAAGCCTCCATTTTTAGAATTTTTTTTCGTTTGCTGTCTGCATCCTGACTGCCATGTAAATAGGAGGATTTCAGTTTTCAGTGGCTGTCATATTTAGCCAATTATATAAGGACATTGAATTCATATAAATTATTTCTAAAGAAAGAAGGCATATGTTTGTGTGTACCTATTTAGAACGATGACTGTGCTGAGGGAAAATTAAGTCTGAAATTACTTTCAAGCTGCATTCTTTCTCTAGGCTAGATTCCGAGAGAGATACTTACAGATCTTGTTCCATGAGTGTTTTCAGTGAAATTGCACTTAAATGTACTATGTAACGTGCAGAAGATATCAGAATTTGTCTGTGAATAATGATCAGAATAGCCAAAGAGATGACAGCTATCTGAAGCTGCAGTTTTCATGGCTTTATCTTGAAATGATATTACACTAATTACAATAGCCTTTCATTTTGTACATCAGCTTCAGTGGACTAACTTATTCAGAAAACAATCATGCAGGTAAGGGAAAGGTAGTGTTTAGAATTAAGAAATATCGTTGTTATTTAAACTTCATTAAGGCATGATTTGCAAAAAGCGCCTGAGATAGGGCACTTGAGAATAAAACAGGGTGGGGATGTTACTGTTGCTTGACAGGGACATAGACAACATTTCTAACAGTAAATGAAGAGCTTTACAAGCTTTTCTATTACTACATAGCTGTCATTTTCCTCGACAAGTGACTAATTTACTAGAAGGTGTCAAGACTGTGAGAAAATTGCTTCTGCTTCGGATGCTCTTCAGTGACTTTACTGTTCTCTGATGTCTGTGATGGAGGATCCTTCAGAAATGACCTCTCCCTTCAGTGCTGACATGAGCACTGAACACATGAGCATTTAGACATTTACATTTTTTGGGGGAAAGTGTGTTGCTCATTACAAGGGATTGTTAAGGTTTAATTAGTGGATGGAAAGCCTGTTTTAAGCAAGTGTCTTTGAAGGCTGCTTCAAAAGCCATTGATAAAGTAAATAGACATGTATTAAAGACTAGACTGATGTAATGAGACTCTGCTTTAAAAACGAGTCTTGGAAATACACTGACAACATTGTTATGAAAAAAGTAGTTACTTTCCAAAAGCAAGGAGAAGCTGCAGCAATGGAACATGTCATGTCTTATTTCTCCTGCTCCTGCCACTTCTTAACTGTGATTCATCTGGGGGATCTGACCATATCTCCCCCCCATTAACGAGACAGTAAGTCCATCTCAGAGCTGTAGCTCCCCATCGCAAGAATACAGAAATGCTGTGACACAGAGCAGCAAATATTCTTATAGAGAGATTTACTGATTTATTTACAGGAAAACAACAGCAAACCCACCAATGCAGTAATGAGAACTATTCCTTGTTTTTGGAGAAGCCTGCTCTCCCTGGCTCACCTGAGGTCACAGGGTGGATCAGTACTGCATAGCCTCATCGGGCATCTCAGTAGAATATTTCTGTTGGTATGCTCTACTATCAGACCATGTATGATGTATTTCTTTCCATCCTTAACCGGGTTGTAAATTCACACCACGTGGATTCTGCTAAGATGGTTGGTGTTAAATATAATCCATTTCGTTGAAAAGTTGATGTATGAATTGACAGTGAAATAGTAGAATGCAGGCAGCACCAGATTCAAGCAATTTAAGATTCCTGTCTCCTTCATTGCAGGTTTCTGGCTCCTGCTCTGGAGCTTCCTGATAGCTATAGGGATATTGCAGTCAAGAGAGGTTTTAGAGTGAGATGCGATTAAAAACTTATGAGAACAAAAATGATAATAATCTGCTATCTAAGTTCTCTGAGTGTGTCTAAATGTAGTGATGGTTCTAGTAAAATCTTACATAGGCAGAACTGTGATCACAAACATAATTTTTAATAAATTAGTGACTAAGTTGTGTTTCACACTAAGCAAGATGAAAGAATTAATTTGGTATTGCCTGTTAACACCGCATCTACAAAAATATTTCAAGCAGGCATCCTTTAGCTGTATTATCTCATGTATTGTCAGTCTGTAACGCAGTAATGGCCATATACATTACTGCTGTTTCTGCTGAAATTATTTTATGGTAACCTATTTATAATGAGACATGCTATCAAAAAAGCATCAGTGTTACCACTTCTTTTGCTCATAAGATAGTCACCCAACAGTGTTTATTCCCTGTTTTGTAGGTAGTTAATATAACTGCTGATTAGCTAAATTAACAGATGCATTCATTGTAATTTGAGTTTCAGAATGCTTTTGCACAGAATTACCAATTTCAGGAGGTACATATTAGAATCCTCTTAAAATTTATGGGCTAGAGGCTATGTGATAACCTAAAGTTTACAATGAATACATTCATGATAGTAAACGTGGCGAAGACACGGACTGCTTCAGTTAGATGGTGGTGTTTTATGAGCAGTGCTTTACAGTGCAGTCCTGTGTATAAATCTGTCCAGCTGATAGTGGCTTACCTGTCATCAGTAGCTCCCTCCAATATTAACTTTGCTGGTAGGACAATGGCACCTTGAGCCTTATTCTGAGTGCTGCTGAGGGTTCATTAGGTTTGTCAGTGTTTGTGCTGATGATGTTAGTCTGAGTGGTTGCAGGGACACAGACTGGGAGCACAATAAGCTCTACTTGAGTGGTCCCAAACAGTGTCATGGTCTGGCAGCTGGTGGCAGTGGTAGCAAATAGCTGAGGGAAAACATAATTACCAGGGTGAGGACAGGAGCTGAGTCTTGTTTGTGATAGGTTTGAAAGGAAAGTTT